GTTGCACTCCCACTGAATTAAAAACATTCTTGTTGCTAGTTCCTGAAAAAGCTGTTTGGGGCCAGTGCTGAATATTTTGGAAACCATCCCAGTAAGCAAGGGGTTTTGGTTAAGAAATACCTATTTTTAAATTCATATTTAGGCAGGTAACGTAGTAGTCAAGATCTCTGATTCTCCTTTAGAGGTAACTTCGATAGGATCAGCTTTGATTGATGATTTTGTACTCTTAAATGAAGGCAGTGGGATAGCCAAGATGCATGGGGCTGCCTCCCAGCACATTCAGTTCTGCAGTGCCATCGTTCACGCTTGCTTGTAAGGATTTCTTCAGCTAATCAGAGAGCGAGAAGCAGCCAGTATTACTTGGTCATGGGTACAAATTGTCTGGAGATGTCCAAACTGATAAATCTCAAATCCACATTTCTGTGTAATGGGTGACACTTCATTTGAGAGCTTACCCTGTCAGGCTGCACATCTCTCCCTCTGTGGGTGTATTTAATCTGGAAGCTACTGTGATCTCCCCTTACATGCCCAAACCATTCTGCTGATTACTCTTAATTCTTACATACAACACCTCTAGTTTCATATTCCCACTTCCCCGATACTTTCTTTCCTTCCCTATTCTTAGGAGAAGCATTTTCTAGCTGTTAAAGCATAGGACTGAAAAATCAATGATTCCATGTTCTTTCCTCCTCCAGTATCTCATTTTGTTTTCTTGCCCAAGATTTTTCAATGTTCTGCACCTCAGATTCCTCCTCTGTAAAATGAAGGTCACTGTCATGTATCATAAATATCTCGCAGTAGTACTGGGGGAGTTTATTACTTGAAAAGGGATTTGAGATCCTTCCTCAGAGGCATGATGGTGCTCTCACCATGTAAAGAGTATTACATTACCCTGGGACCTGCATTAAGTGATGTCATGTGCAGTTGAGAAGAAGCTCAGCCTTTTCTTTATCATTTGCCAGACTGAATAAAATAAAGCTTTCAGCAAGAAAAATTAGGAATCAGATAAATTGTTCTTCTGGTACATGTGATATTTGACTAAACTAATTTTTGAAGTGTTTATGGTTACATAGAATTGGACAGTTACAGCTCTTCATTTCCAGAGGTGTTACAAGGTGCTTCTATAATATGGCATCACATAAAATGCAGAGATCAACACACTATTGTATGCTGAGCTATATAAACCATCTGTCATTTTCATGTGTGTACATGGTCTATATAAGTGTCTTTAGAACCCCAGCTGCTGCAGATCTTTCTGTTTACTTCACATAATCCAGATTATAAATGCTCTCTACTTAAAACAAATCAGTATCAGTGGTTGATATAGGTCAACAATGCTATAGCAGCCCTCAAGTACTTGGAAATATACCTTCATAGTATTGAAAAATCAATTGGAAATCTCCTTCAGAATGTACAGATCTCAGCATGTAAGACAAACACTTAACAGTGTGGTGAGTTGGTGTAGGATGCACAGAGGACAAAACTGGCCATATGGTAAAAGCTTTCTGATGAGGCTTTGGATGTTATTCTCATTGCTCCAAGCTACTCTCTGCAATAAAATACTGTGGACTTTGTTCAGGGTAACCTCATTAAATGTATGAATATATCTCTGAAATGGGATTTTTTTTTTTCTCCTGTTTTATCTACTTAGGGTTTTAGCAAGGCCATTCTGCCTTTAGGCTGAACTGCCATCAATTTCTCCAGCAGATTTTTTATGCAAATTTAAACTTCTGCCTTTTGATGGATCATTTTAAATTCTGAAAAGTGCTTTAAAATAAATTACATCTTGTCCTTCCAAGATAACCAATGATCTAAAATATATTCTCTGCCAACTACAACCCTGCCTTCCTTTTTATCTCAAATCCAATTCAAAAACCAAAAATGTCACAGAAAACTCCTATTAGACCAAAATACATTAGCATCTATCATTCTTGAGCCAGATACTGGTATAAGTTGCATTTTTAGTTTGTAGGGGAAACTAAGTCCACAAGAGATTTGAAAAAAAAAAGCGCTAATACACTGCTAAGTGCTTATTACCCTAAGGTAAAACCTTTCCATATAAAGATTTTACCAGGATGAACAATGCAGTGTTCTACTTTTTTGTTGTTGTTGTTTTTTTGATTGGTTGTTTTTTTGAGGTTGGGTTTTTTGGGGGTTTTTTTGATTGTTTGGTTTGGGTTGGGTTTTTTTGTTTTTGGTTTTTTGTGGGTTTTTTGCTTGGTTTTGGGCTTTTTTGTTTTTTGGGGGTTTTTTGGGTTTTTTTTTGTTTGGTTGGTTTTTTGTGGGTTTTTTGCTTGGTTTTGGTTTTGGTTTTTTGTTGTTGTTGTTTTTTGGGGGTTTTTTTGGGTTTTTTTGTTTTGTTTTGTTTTTTGTGGGGTGTTTTTTGGGAAGAATGAGCTGGAAGATTCCTAGGATAAGTTTACACTTTTCACATTATTTTGGGTTTTTTTTACTTACAGAAAGTGCCATTTTTGCCACAAGAAAAATGAGTTTATAGCACCACCTGTCCTCCTTCACACAGAGGTCTTATTTGTATCTGCAGTCCTGGGCTGAGAAGCTGCACTATACCAGAGACAATTTCAGCAAGTTAGAAAGCTGTATGAATGATAATTGTCAGCCCAGCTGCATGTTTGCTTGCAGCATTCACTGCAAACCATCAGCTGGCTGCACTCCCACACCCTCTTTTTTGCTTTTTCCAATTTCATTGTAAAGTTGGAGAGATCCTCCAAACTGATCAGGTGAAATCCAGGTGACGTCTCCTATGCAGGCTGACAGCTCTAAAGTGTTTCCACTTCCTGCAGTTCCAAGGACTACCCAAGGCAGCAGACTGGCGGGAGAGCTTTTTGTAATTGGTGCCCTTCCTTTCCTCCAAAAAAAGTGGCAGCCATTTCCACTGCCATGCAGAAAGCCTTGTACTGCTGTGTTCAGGAGGCACTTGAACTCTTGTCCCACTATTAGAGAGGGCAGTTTTCCATCCGATTTCGTTCAGAGCAGTTCATGCCTCTTTAGCTCCATGACAAGCTGCATTCAATTAAAAAAATAAAAAAAACAAAACACAAAAACAACAAAACACAAACAAACAAAAAGAAAGGTTGATTTTGCATCATAATTAAAGAAGGGAAAAGTACAGAACTGAAACTTTTCTCTCAGAAATCTGTGCCCCCGTGTATTATTTCCAAGTTCCTAGTGCAGGAAATCCTGTGTCACCTCAGCTGTGCCGGATGCTACATGAGAAAAACATCATGCTGTGGCAACAAGGCTCATTAGGATCAAGGGAGCCTTCTTTTCTTTCTGGGAACATCTGCCATGGCTTGGGAAGTTACTTAATCTTACAATGTGCCTGGATTCCAGATCTCTAAAATGGGGGCAAATAGAATTCTGCTACTTCCTGCGGACTTTTGGTCAGGTTAGCACCACTGTAGCACACTGCTCAGAAATTGGGACACAACACCTTTATCATATTTAGACTTTTTATTTCTCCTGCTCTAAAGGTCTCTGTCAGAGCAGCAGCATAAGCTACCAATGGACCCCATCAGAAAACGCATTTGTATGAAATTTAGCAACATCCCTGATGCTGTTCTTGATGCCAGGGAGTGAGCAAAAAGGTGCAGTGATGGCTGTGATAGTAGAGGTGACTGCCCAGCATCAGAATGGGAATGTCAGTTGGACTGTAAACTTGGGAGATGCATTTCTGGACACACTATGTGGCTACTTCTTAAAAGGACAAGAAGTAAATTCGGGACAAGGAATTTGTGAGAAAGTTACTGGTAAGTTTTTGGGTCACAGTTTTGGGTGTGAACACCAAAATAGCTCACTTACAAGCCTCAAGTGCAACACCCCCACACACATACAAAAGTGGGGGAGAAGATGGAGTAGTGGGGTAAAGAAAAACAAGGACAGATTCCAGATGACTATGCTGAAAGTTCATGTGTTTTTACAAAAAGGGATTTCTGCTGAAACGAGAAGGGAATCTTGGGTGCATACACCTTAGCTATCCTAACTAGTGGACTTCTAGCTGTACTGGTTCCCTGCCCAGAAAAGGAAAAAAAGAATGAGTCAATCCTGAATACCGATGAAAGCCAGACCACACCAAAGCCAGAGTGCCACAGGTACCGTCCCTGCGTCAGGCTGCCCAGAATACTCTCCCTGACCCACCCATTTTAATTTTACCAGGAACTTTCCCTATTAAATACACTTCCCATGAATGCTTTCACCCGGCCCAGCCACTCGCTCGGAGCGCAAAACCATAAAGTGATGGGATCATTCAGGGTGGGAATGGCCTCTAAGATCATCGATTCCACCCATTGTCCCAGCATTGCCGGGCCGTCACACCTCCCTAAGTGCCACATCTACATGTTTTTGTGAACACCCCCACGGACAGTGATCCCACCACTTTCCTGGGTAGCCTGTGCCAGTGCTGAACCACCTTTTTCCGAGAACAAGTGTTCCCCGATATTCGATCTAAACTGCCTCTGGCACGACTTGAGGCCTTTTCCTCTCGCCCAGTCGCTCATGTCCGCGGGAGCAAAGTCCTGGAGTGGTTCAGCCCCGCTCCCCGGGAAGTTTGACACAGCAAAGTCGCTTCTTCCCGGACACCAACACACCCGAGGGCACCGGCTCAAAACCTGCAGGAAGGTTTTGAGTCCATTGCCCCGCAACCCTGCGTGCCCAAGGGGTGCTTATAAACCCCAAGCCGCGGGCATTCTCCGCTTTAGACACGCGTGAGGTGGATGTCACAGCCTCGCGGGCAGAGCGGTGACAGGGATGGGAGGGCTGCCGGGGGAAGGCAGGCTGAGGTATTCCCCCCGGCTCAGAGCAGCTCCATCGGCCGCAGGTGCCGCAGCCCACGCCCACGGCTTTGGGGTGATTCGGGAGGTTTTTTGTCACTCTTGAGCTCGCCGCCCGCGGGGCGGAACTCTGTGTCCGGGGCAGCACGGAAGGTTTCCAGCGGCGGACGCGGCGGGGCCGGAAGGCGGCGGCGGCTCCGCCGGGGCGGCGGCATGGCGGGCTGGGGGCGGCTGGCCCGGCTCGGCGGCACGGCGGGCTGGGGGCGGCTGGCCCGGCTCGGCGGCACGGCGGGCTGCGGGCGGCTGGCCCGGCTCGGCGGCACGGCGGGCTGCGGGCGGCTGGCCCGGCTCGGCGGGCGCCTCTGGGCGGCGGCGGGGCCGGCTCCCGGACACAGGTAGCGGTACGGCTGGGAGGGGAAGGGGCTGCTCCGGGGGACGGGCGGGAAAGAAGAAGCGGTAGGAACAGCGGGGAGCAGAGCGTGGCTCGGCCCCTATCGCAGTTCCGAGGTCGTAGAATCGCAGGATGGCCTGGGTTGGAAGGGGACCTTGAAGATAATCGAGTTCCAGCCCCCGCTGCTGTGAGAAGGGACGGCTCCAGCTAGAGCAGGTTACTCAGAGCTGCATCCAACGTGGCCTTGGACGCTGCCACGGATGGGGCATCCAGAGCTTCCCTGGGCAGCAGTTCGAGTGCCTCCCCACCCTCACAGCTAAGAATTTCTTCCGAACATCTAATCTAAGCCTACCGTCTTTCAGTTTGAACCCATTCCCCCTTGTCCTGTCACTGCAGGCTCTTGTAAGTAGTTTAGCCTCGTGTTTCCTGTGGGTTCCCTGCAGGCAGCGGCCCTTTCCCCGCCCCGGGCGCGTCTCTGCCCGCCGCCCTTTGGGGAGGCCTCTGTGTGCGGCCTGCGGGCAGCACCTGGAAGCCTTGTTCGTGGTGCCAGGGGTTACTGCTGCGGCATTCCAGCCTTAGAAATGGCCCCGGCCTGCGTGGGAGTTATGGCAGGACAGGCATGTTCGCATCCAAACCATCTTTGCAGTGAGCGACTTGGCCTGCCATGTTTTGGGTGGCCTTGGCCCGCTGGCCACGTGCATTCACTGCCTATACCATTAAATACTGTTTTGTTGACATTGCAGAGAACTGGGGAGCATTCAAGCCTTTTTCAGCTCTCATAACATTTATGGCAGGATACTGAGATGTTCAGCAGTGTTTGTAAAATCAGAGAGTTGTTGGGGCTGGGAGGGAGCTGAGGAGCCAAGTTCTAAGTTCTTCCTCACAGTGTGACCAGCCCTAATGTCACCCTAGGTTGCTCAGGGCTTTGTGCTTTTGGGTCTTGAATGCCTCTAAGGACTGAAACTTCACAGTCCCACTGCTTGGACCCCAGTGCCAGTGTTTGATTGTCTTCAAGCTGAACATTTTTTTTTTCTTAGGGAAATCTGAATCTCCCTTTTCGGGTTATAGCACTTCTCTCACTCTCCTGGTGTGCACCTCATTGACATGGCCTGCCTTGGTCTTGTCAGTAGCTTTCTCACAAATTATCCCATGCCACTTGTGGATGGGACTGTGCATTTCTCCTTTATGAATTTCACTGGGTTCCTTGTTGGCTTGTCCCTCTGGCTGGCAGAGGGACACCCTTGGGCATCAATCGCTGCTCCCTTCCAGCTTAAGAACGGTGCACTCATCCCCTCTCAGAGGCCACTGAAAAAGATACTGAACAGGATGAGTTCCTGAATAGATTCATGAACAACTACTTGCCTTCTAGAGAGTCCAAAGCATCAGCTGTGACTCCTTCAGCTGACAGTCCAGCCTGGTTTTTGCTCAGCTGATAGTCCACCCATCCATACCGTAACATCCCATCCTGGATAGAAGGATGCCACAACAGATTGTTTTTAAAAGTCTTGCTAAAGTTAAACAGTACTTACTGTTATCTCTTTGTTCATGGGTCTAGCTGGGTTTTTTTTCTTTGTCTTTAAAGGAGTGAGTGGTTGGTTGGTTGGTTGGTTGGTTTGTTGCCTGCTCCCCTTTGGTATAATTCAGAATACTTAGTCAAATGACAGATAATTAAGTTTTATAAATTAGATGTAACATACATGTTGTGAGACAATTTTTGTACTGATAAGACCCTCAAAACCTTTTTCCACCTCTGGAAAGGGATCAGCTGGGCTTTATAGTCAGATACATCAGCAGTTCAACATGGTGGCACGAGCATCTTTCTGAAGAGAATGTGGAGTTCCTCAAGAAGATAACTGCAGAGGAGTACAAAGCTCAGACAGCCAGCAAGCTGTGCCCTCTGAAAGATGAGCCATGGCCACTGAATAAGTGGACGCCAGGTGACTAATTATCTCTTCTGAAACACCTCTTCATGCTGAATTTATTATTGTTGTTGTGTTGTTGCATTCAGTAACATCAGGATTGGGTCTTGTGAAGTATTCTTCTTTTGGCTTTCACATCAGTTACTCAATAAATCTTCTGGCAGATAAGTAAATGTAATACGTCAGTTCTCTAAAAAACATTTTAAATATTACAAGATGTTAACAACCTTTTAAGAACTTTTAGTTCTTAAGGATAGTTTTTAGTCCAACTCTGGGCCTATCCCACTGCTGTACACAAGATAATAAATTGAGAATTTGTCCAAAAAGTCTTCTTAGAGTATAAAGTGTATGAACTTGAAAATGTTTTTGAAAATGTTTTTGTTAATATTGTTGGGCTCTGAAGAAAAAGTGTAGTATATAATACATCCCACTTCTGGTCTGTGATTACAGTTTCCTATGGACTAGAACACAGAATTAGGTTTTTGAGCTTTCAAAAGGGTCACATCATTTGTGTGGCATACATGACAGTTTGCCATTGCAAAGATTGGGGTGGGAGGAATCTCCTACAGCGAACTTTCTATAGTTAGCTTGGCTCTAATACATGGGCATTGTATTTTGGAAAAGAAAAGCAAACCAAAATAGTTGCATTTTCTATCAAACACAACTGAAACAGAACTTTACTGCTGTTGGGGTTAAGCACAGCCTACCTGCAAGGATTTAGTGGTGTATTCTCTCCTTCACCTCCTTAGGAAAGATCAGAGTTAATGGGACTTTACAGATTATTAGATGAACTCTTTCAATTATTAAGTGTGAAGGTGCATCCATGTTCTGTTTTGATCTGCAGATTCCATCAGAGTTGGTGTTGTTGCAGTAAAACTGGGAATGATGCCAATATGGACCAAATCAGGAGAAAAACATGCAGTCACACTACTTAAGGTGAAATAAATCATAATTAATTTAATCTCTTATACTATATTCAGATTGTAAACAAGCTGTTTCAAGGAAAAGCGAAATTTACTACTTGTACAGAGTAGGAAATCCTAAAAGAAAGTGAAGATTTCTTTCACTCCTGTATAGTATACCATGCCCATTCTGTTTATATCCATACTTTCTAGGAGTGCTCTGCTCTGCCGCCTCAGCTATTCAAATGCTGCAGAGCTATGAGTGGTGTTACCTACGTGATGCAACAAAGCTGGGGTTAACTATCACGCTTCATTTCTTTGCTGTTTCCACCTGCAGGGGTGTTGGGATTAGTTTCACCTTTGTTTCTGAGCCTTTGTAGCTCTGAAGCTGCTTCTTCATGTTCTCCAGCAGCTGCTCTTGTGATGAAGCCTTTTGCTACTGGCTGCAGCCACAAGAAGAGTGTGAAGGCCATCAGGTTTACAGGGCAAAGGAGCAGGAGTCTAAAATGGGGGCCCTTACTGTGTGCTTTGCATGCTTACAATTAGGGGTTTGCAGCTTTTTTGTGGAAAAGGTGATTATCATTTCTAGAGCATTTATGAAATTAGTTTGTATTCTACCATTTTTTTTTTGACAAAAATAAGCCTTCAGTTCATTGGAAAAGCAATGTCAGTGGTAAAAACGTAACACACTGTCTTATTTGTAGGCTGCATCTTCTGTTATGAAGCCCAGACTTTGGTGTTTTCATTGTCTTAATGTATACACATCTGCTTATGCTCAGACAAACACTTTTTCTTTTCTCTAGGTTCAAGATTGCCATGTTTTAAGATATGTTTCAAAGGAAGAGTCTGGTGGAAAAACAGCTAAGCTGCTTGTTGGAGGCAAAAATGTATCTCCTTTTTCTGTAAGTGAAGCACTTTGGGTGTCACTATTGGAATAGTTGTTTCTGTTGTGATGATAATATAAAAGTAGCATAAGTAGACTTCTCTGAAAGATTGATTGGCTGACAAGAGTGCTTTGCAATTGATTTTTTGTCACATTCACCTTTGCCATTTCCTAAGCGAGTAAATTCTTGATTAAAAGACTAGCAAGAAGAACTTTTTGAAAGTTTTGCCTCTTAATTCTCTAGGAAAGCGGTGGGTTTATGAATTTGCTTTGAGGTGCAGTGTCCCATGCTGGTGAAAGGGTTTGAAGGACCAGTAGCAGTGGAGAAATGTGTGTTCTTCGTGTCTGTGGAGATTCAGTTGAGATGAGGACTGCAAGATACAAACTTCAGGAGCCTGCTGTATACTTACTCAGCTTCATCAGTTGTTTACAACTTAGTGCTCTGGCTTACTCTTCTGTACTGTCTTTTTAGCTATAGTTTTACTTTTTCCCCAGGTCTGTTGACATTGTTTAGTTTACCTATAATTCTGCTAAGTAACTTCAACACTTATCTTTTCAAGAAGATAGCTTCATGATTTTAACTCATCAACAGCCATATCAAAGCCACTCACTTCTTCAGACATCCCAGTTGCTTGATGTGGAATTCCCAGATATCTCTAGTGGCTGAGGCAGAGCTGTCATTCCAAGCATGAGTTATAGATCAAGCAGGAACAAAGCTTTCCCTCAAAGGATGTTTCTGTGATGCATTATTTCTGTAAAATATAATTTTTCAATTCTTGCAATATCCTGACACTTATTTGTCTGATTTGGGCAAGTGAAAAAATCCCAGGGCTCATGACTACTAAGCAGATTATCTCAGTTCATCATTGTGGCTTTTTGAGGGCATAGATTTCCATTTTTCAAACAGATGGGTATCCCAGGGCCTCAGAATTAGTCTATTTGTTTCTGCTTTAGTGGAGGTAATAGAAGAAGGAGAAGAGAAAATAGATCTGTTGGCTTTTTTAGTATAGTCTGCTGATTTTGAACAGGCTTATACTTCAAGGTACCATTCATTTATTTAGTTGATTTATGACATGTTTGACTAGTACAATTTGCACAGTTGCATAGGTGTCTATTCTGTCACTTCAGTCCATTTCTGCTTTCCAGGTATGGGATTTTCCTGGAAAAATGTCAGCTGTGTTTTTTTCTTTCCTGTTACTTTGGTCTAAGACATGCAAGAGTCATGGGAATGATAATTTTCAAGTTGTGCTTTGCCCATTAGACTCCTTTTCTTGAAGATGATGTTACCAGTAAGTCTAGTATATTGTCAGAGTAAAAGCATGCCAGAAGTAAGGAGGTATGAAGCAAACTTATTTTTAACAGCTCTTATGAAAATTTCTTTAAAGCAGAGCTATGTAAAAAGTCAAGGACTTTTTAGCAGTGTGGGGTTATGTTTAAGACTTTTTTTGGGCATAACTTCTCCCAAGTTAGTGTCTGTTAATTTGGTTGAACTTTAATTTTAACTCATTTTAATAAAGAATTTAATTAAATATTCTTTGAGCAAACTTTGGTGAAGTTTTGGCTTGAGACTGAACTGTTTATTTATTTTTATTATTTTTATTTTTTATTTTTATTATACTGACCTCTGTATTATTATTTTTGACATCATCATTTTATAAACTAGATAATTCCTAAGGAAGAATTTGGTGTACTGCTTCTGGGCAGATTTATTTGTTATGGTACTAACAAGTGATGTATTTCTGTGGTTTAGCTGCAAGTTTGCATCATTGTTTTCCTAAGTTTATCAGCCTTCCTATGTGTTTCTCTTCTCCCTAAAGTGTCAGAAGTGAGAATTAAAAGAAAGCTGAGTCTTGTATTAGCATAAGCAATTTCTTTTTTGTTAATTCCTCATAGGAACATCAGTCTTCCTCAGATTTCTCACAGCTACTGGTTTTCAATGAGTTCAATCAAAAGAGTCTTTTGGTAATTTTTCTAACAAAGAATTTCATGTATTTCTTTGGAGTGTCAGATTGCTTTAAAACTGATAAGGGTGTTTTTTCATTTTTAGCAGGAGTCATTTTTCCTTTTTAGCTTGATGTATGTCACTCTCTTAAAAGTTAACAGATTCTTCATTATTTTTTAATGCAAAGTTATGCTCGAAAGTAAGTTCTGTCAGTGCTCAGACTTTTTTTTTTCTTAAAAATATTTTATATGCTTCCTATACGTGAGGGCATATCGATCATTTTCCTATCATATTGGATGATATTGTTGGTGCTTTTAAAAATAAAGAATCTCTGAGAATCCACTCAAGTGTTCCCTTCTTCATTGTATTGCTTTTTAGGAAGGGTTTGTAAAGATTGAAGTGTGTTTTGTTTGTAAAAGTACATCTCTGACTTGGCTGTTTGAAGAGGAGGTGCTGTTGCAGTAGAACAGTGCAAGGCTACAGCCTAGAGTAGGACTCTTGAGATACAAGTGAATTTTACCCTTTGACTTCACCATGCTCTTCTTCAGCTGTGGTAGCTCTTTCCTGCCACCCATGCTGAGGACAGGGCTTCCCTTGCTGTAGCTTAAGGCAGCAGTTTTACATAGCTGGAAATAAAGGATTGATATACAGGCACTTAGTAGAAAGTCCATATCTTTATTTTTCATTCTCACATATAGTTCTGCAGGTTAATACAGGTGCTCCACTGATCTGTCAAATATTTGTAGTCTCAGGAGAGAATTTGTATGTAGTTGTTTCTGGTTTTTTAAAGGTATTTGAAGTATTTTTTACTGTGACCTCAAGTTAACAAATCTCTTGAGAAATATTTTTCACTCTCAAAGATGGGTTCTGAAACTTAAAATTCCTGGGTTTTTTCTAAATCTGAGATCCTCATCATCTTGATTCCTCATTCTTCATAAAACTTCCTCTGTTCTAACGTTTTTCGACAAATGTTTGAAAATGAAAGGGCAACGTGCGGGTTTTCAAAACTGTGTTTTCAAATACACTAAGTAACATTTTTAAAGTTGTGCACATTACTTGCTCTTAAAACACACAAAATAATTTTTGAGAGAGAGGGAGCTGCACAGGAGTTTTGAGAAGCAAACCTCAGAGATGAGATTATCCAAGTGTGACAGTATTGTTAGATGCTTAAATTGCTTTCTACCAGAAATCATTTGAAGGAAAATCATCTGCTTCTCTTTTTTTTTTTTCCCGTGGCCACAATTTTCCTGCATCACTGTTTCTGTTGCTTGGTTTTGTCTCAGTGATATGCTGTTCTGTGAGATGTCTTGCTTAAAACAGCTGAGAATAATTTTAAGTACTTTTAAATCTGTCAAACTCATCTGAAAACATAATCCCTGCTTTAGTAAGTCAGTAGTTTGACACTGAGTGTACTTGCTATATCTTAAAAATACATGGATCATAAACTTGTTATATTTTTGCCCAGAGACTCAAAATTTTCTTCTGTGGAAATTTAAGCATTTCTAGAAGTTTCTGCAAGATGAGAATTTGTTTCTATGGTTTTGTTAGTTCCTCACTTCTATTTATTTTGTTTTTTAACTAAGTCATCAGAAGCTTTGAAAAAGAGAATCAACTTCTAAATTCAAAACTCCTTGTAAGCCATGAAAAAAAAAAAAGTAGCATCTGTCATGTACATTCTAAATGATTCGTTTCCCTCTTCTGATCTTCAATAGCCTCATACATCTCTCGTTTATATTAGGTAGCTGTAGGGTAACTACTTGACAGAAAATAAAAGGCAGACATTTATTTATTTTTAAATAAACTTTATGTAGAGATAAAATGCAAGCCTCAAGATGAAATTCTAGTATGATGTATCTGTTTCTCTGAGTGATGTTGACAGTCTGTAATCGTTTTCTGTGCTGGGTTGATTCTTGGGTATTTAAAGATGACTTCTTTTTTATGGCTGCTTTTTGTTGCAGAAACCGGAGTCTGCACATGAAATTTTTAAAGAAGCTGGAGTCCCACGGAAGCAGAAAGTCACAACTTTTAATGTAACTGATGATGCCATAATTAAGCCAGGTAATTTTTTTGAGCTACTGAATATTATGTGCATAGTCATTTAACATCTATCACTTGTAGACATAAATGAAGTTATGATGTGTATTTCAGTGTTGTTTTTCATAGAAAATGCTGAGTTCTTTGTCATTAAGCATAAGCAAACTTTTTTCATAGGGAAAATTAGAAGGTGGGTTTTACTTTTTAGTTGATGAGATGTGTTTTTTGCTTTTTCCAGGACACTATGTTTCCACCTATAAGAAAATATATCCAATCCAAATTTACTCTGAATGTTGAGTTAATAAGTAAATGTCTGTAACCTTGATTCACTTATTGGGCATAAATATGGATACAGTTACAGGAAGTTCTGTGTTTCTCCTTATGAGAGGGACACAATTTTGGTGATGTGGTGATGTTTCCCAGGACCCTGAAATAGCAGTTTGAGTTTTGTTCCTTCTTGCTGCATTCGAAAGTAGGAGCTTTAAGTAGCTGCTTTTTCTGTTTTACAGCTTGCAAAGTAAAATAATCTAAATCCTATTTATAACAAACATTATCACTAAAAATCTGTATGGAAGTTTGGAAATCAAATTAGAAGTTTTAAGTTTCTGAGGTTTTATTAGGTAGTGTATTTAGGTTGCATTTATTTTGTGAGTTTTGGCAGTTACAGGTATTTTCTGAAGAATTATATAGGGTAGGAAATTCTAATGTATTGCATCTTCAGTGCCATTAATGGAGCTTTTTAAGCTTTTATAGCAAGACCTTTTTAAGACAGTGCAGTAACTGATAAAAATCAAATCTGACATGAAGTCTGGACTGATAAATGGAAGCAATAGCTTGAGATAAAGCAGAATTGCAAGTTTTCGATACGTTGGTTTTGCAGTGTGTGTATTCTGTACATAACACTCTTTTTGTGTATGATTCTGTGTGGGTTGGCATTATCCAAATGTGTGGATTATGTAAATGGAACATGAAATAATATAAAAGTTTTTATGCTTGAGACTTATGAGAGGTTTACGTCATTTTAGTTTGCATTCATACAGATTTGAGGAAGCATGGAAGCAATTGAAAAAACATGAAACAATTAAAATTTCTTTTTTTAATGGATGTATAACAAACTGCAAACTGAAATATGCAGCCACATGGATCTTCAGATTAAAGTTTATTTATAAAGAACTAAGTTATCAGTTTTGCTTTGTGGGTTTTTTTTAAGCTGCTAATGAAAGAAGATTTGCACTTTGATTAAAAAAAAACACTGAAGACAAAACAAATCAGAAATTAATACTTTGATACTGCAAGTACTTAAGGAATTAGTGTCATTACAGTGAGGTGACTGTGTCACTGACCTACAGTAGAACTGTATCTGCTAAAGGTTAGCATGTAGACAATTCCTCAGTGGAGGAAGCTGTACTTTTGCTACAGACTTTAGTTTGGAAACACTGTGTCTTAATAGAGGAAGCATTGCAAAACTTTTTTAACTCAACTTTTTTCTAGTAAATGGGTTTTTATGGTTTGTTTGGATTTTTTGTTTGATTTTTTTTTTAAACCCTCCACCTTGTGAAGTCCTAGTAGTTCTAAATGAGCATATTCTGTTTTCTTACTAAGCATATGTATTATGAATCTTAACTAATTAGGCACTTTGGGCTTTGGCAGTGTGGGAAGGGCAATGTATCTGAGTAAAGCCTTGACTATTCCTTCCTGCTCATCTGAAATGGGCCTATATCTTAAATGTGCTTAAATAATAAATACAAAGCATCTATTTCAGTCTGTGAGGTTGGTAAAGAAGAACAAATAAGATTTAAATAACAAGTTCTGTTTTATTTCCTGTGACTGTAACCTGCCCTGGAGGATAATAACTGCATAGTGGTTTGAGGATTTCAGCACCAAGTTGAACTTGATCTCTCCTCTTCTTCCACAGGTACTCCTTTGTATGCTGCTCACTTCCGCCCTGGGCAGTTTGTGGATGTTACTGCAAAAACGTAGGTGCCTGAGAATTTATCATGTCTTAAATCTTTCTCAAAGAGAATGCCTATTTTTTTTCCCTCTAATTTGGCTTGAACATATGGCTCACAAAAGCTGAAATACAATTGTAGTGGTAGTGACAGGAAATTGATGTCTGTTCACTCATTGGGTCAGAAATATCAAGTTATGTTTCTTGATGAGGCTAACTCTTGCTTTTGAGCAAGGCAGGTAGATTATTAGTACTATTAAGGCTGAGGTCTGCCTGTGTTGCCTCTCAAATGCCCATGATTAGCATTGGCAAAGAGATACTTTAGTGCACTATCTCTAGTAATAAATGCTGAAAGGTATTGGTTCCCTAAAAGACACCCTAATTTTAATTTGGTGAAGAGATGGGAAGAGATATGTGGACTAACAGGATAGTAAAAAGATAGTGAGTACATTTAGGAGTAAAACAGAGCTGTCAAATTCTTTTTATTTGTTTTCTCTCACATTCCAGCTCATGTCCTTGCCAGCAGTGGTTAAAGATCTTTTACTTTAATGTGGGAGGAATGATTTCCTCTCAGACCGCTGCGAATGCCAAATGAGAGCTCAAATAATAGAGGGTGTTTAAAAGTAAAATTGGCAACCTGTGGCAAAAAAAAAAAAAAAATCCTATCCTGGCTCTTGCACATATGTGATTTCCCCTGATCAAGAGAACTGTCTGCGTACTTCAGTGTCGTGATACAAAGATAATATTTGCCATTGCAGGTTTTATTTTCTCTGCAATGGGGATAATACCCAGCTGCATGTCTCACATGTATAGTCTAATACCTATAAATATTCAATGCTGTTCACAGGATTTTGTATATATGGGGAAACTGGTCATATCTACAGAGCTGAGTATGCAATTCTAGAACTACACCTCCCTACATTTGTGAGGGCACTCTATTGAGAAAAACAGTTTAAGTAGTTGACTGGAATTAGTATTTTTCCATGTCAGCTTTTGTTATACAATACTTAGATCTGGCATATTATTCATTCTGCTTGAAAATTGCATTCAGTGAGCATAGGTTGTTTGAGACCATAGGTTGTTTGCAAAACAAAGTGCATGATCATTAGGAATACAGTCAGTTAATGGACATAAGGTGTCAATCTTTGTTAATGCAGAAAAGGTTTGTTTTCCTAGGAGTTGTTCCAAGAATGAGGGAAGAGATTTTTTAGCAGTGTAGAAGCTATTGGTAAACAGCCACAGGGTATTGATTTGTATCTTGCTTCTAGTATTTGAGAATACTAGCAAGCTAAAAATGAACTGGGTTCTTGGTCCTGTTTAGTGAATCCATCCTAGATTGGAATTAAGTATTTCTAATATGTTTTCTCTAGATATTTTTATGATCCCATTTCAGAAATTAGCTGTGTGTTTGTACTGCTGATTTGGTAGCATATTTCTTGTAATCCTTCTGTAAAGGTGAAGGAAATGTTCTTTAACTAAAGAGAAAGGTGAAACGGGCTTTCTGTCAGTGTGATTCTCTAATCATTCCAAATTTTTAACCTTTTTCTGGGGCTTGTTCACATTCTGGTTACTACTTCTTTGGAATGCTTCATTTATCATGTTCCCTTAGCTTCTGGGCAAGAATTAAGTTATGTTACTACGTTTCAGTTTCTTCTGTTCTTTTGGTTTTTTCCATGCAATTTCATCCAGTAAAGTCCCACCCAGCCTGGGGAAGGATGTGGAGGGAGGACCTGGGTCTTTCTGTTTCCAACCATTATGGACTTGAAGAACAGTAATTCCTAAAATGTGCTGTCAAGTTTTTATAAATATATTTACATAAATATGTACTTTACATTTTTGAGTTTGACAGTAATTTTGCTTTAATTGGAAGAGACACCAAGAGTGTACAGTGTTAGAAATCATGTGGATGAAAATAGCAGTGCTGTTGATAATAGCATGTTTAATTGTAGTAAGTCCTTTAAAAAGGAAAGAAAACAAATGTCATCTCAATGAGGAGATAATATAGTGGAATATAAAGGATATTTTAATCTTTTGCCAACTTCTAATTGTTCAGATGAGCAAGTATCCTTTTGTATGCTTACTTCTGCCAAAATGTAAACAAAAAGTATGCGCCTTATAAATAAGCAAACTTCAAATTTCATTTCAGAAGTCTTAGGTTAGCCTTTTCATTTGGTTACCAAAATGTAGGAGATTTTTTATGACTGTCTTCCTTTAATCTTCCCTGCAAATGTTTTTTTCAAAGTCTTTTGAAATGTTTAGATTCATTTATACCTCTGTAAACAAAAACACTTTCACAGGTTTGGTTGAAGATTTATGTAATACACTTTTATTTCAAATCTCACAATCGTTCACCATGGTATGAGTGGCTTTTAGAGCACTGAGAGTAGGCAGTGTGTCTGTATGCTGTAAATCTTCTATAGTGATGAAATATTTTCCTTAGTACTCATTTTCAGTAATTTAATTAAGTTTAGCCCTGCTGAGCTTGGAGCTAAATGCATAACAGCATCCAGAAACACTTCTATCACCAGCTGCAGCTCTGTGACCCCACTTTTAGTACTGCATCCAGCTCTGTGGTCCCTTCTAGGGATGGAGCACCTCCCCTGGGAGAAAAGCCTAAGGGAATTGGGATTGTTCAGCCTGGAGAAGAGAAGGTTTCAGGGTGACCTAATTGCAGCCTTTGAGTACCTGAAGGGAGCTTGTAAGATGGAGAAAGACTGCAAAAGTATGTGGTGACAGTACAAATGGCTTCAAACTGAGAGTAGGTTTAGACTAGATATTAGGAAGAAATTCTTTACTGTGAGGGTGATGAGGTACATCAGAAATATTCTCAGACCCAAGAAAAAGCCAACAGTAGATTTGTTGGAAATGAGCTAAATTAAGTCATGAGTTTGGAGTGTTTATGGTTTATTTAAGGTTTGCTTGATTAACAGTGTAATCTGAGCCTGAATCAGAACTCTCCATTTGCCCGAAGTTATCTAAGTAGTTGGAATATTTTTCCCCTGCAGCATTGAAATAATGCTCTTTTAAATTAACTACATTTGAAACATTACTAGCAAAGTAAATTGTTGCTTAATTAGTGTGCTTTATTGCAGTTACTTTCTAAATGAAAGTTCTCTCATTAGATACTGGCATTTTACTTATATCAAATCTGGAAAATGAGGGTTTGTATAAAATTAGGTGGTTAACCTCAACACCTGCTTTCCTGCAGGTGAGACCAGAACAACTGTAATTAAACTCTAACTCTGCAGAAATATTATTTTCCTTTTATTTAACTCTTGCATGTCATATTTTTTCATATCATCATTGCTCCCTGTGATTACTTTCTGGGAATCAGGTAATGCTTCACTCAGTGAAGCCAAGTAAACTAAGTCAGTATATTGCATCTGTAGAAGAGCAGGGACATTCTGCAATTCAAATCTAATTTTGTAAGTCTCATGCATGTGGGATTTTGTGTTTATATATGGTGTCCAATGTTACTGTTAGAACACTAAAAATTTATGGCCCTTGATTCAAACCAAGACAACAGGTAGAAGATGCCTTAGCATGATATCACAACAGGGTAAGTAGGGTGTCAAACATTCTACTTCAGTGTAAGTTCTTGGTTATATTTCAGATACTGTAGCAAAATCAATTATTTTTTAAGTGGATCCTAGTAATTTATTCTGTTAATATATACTACTGGATT